TATATATACCCCCCCCAGCCCTTCTCACCCCTTCTGCCCTTCCTCCCCCAGCTCTGAGGGAAGCTCAGGACATTGACCTGCACCTGACAGCCCTGCAGCAGCCCCTGGAGCGCTTGGAGGCAGCTGAGTTCAGCAAGGTGAAGCCTCTCCTGGTGCCCCTGCTGCACGTGGTGTGCTGGATCTGGGCCAGCTGCCAGCACTACAGCGTGCCCCTGAGGCTGGTGGTGCTGCTCCAGGAGATCTGCAACCTCCTCATCCAGCAGGTGTGATGTGCCTGTGGCACCTGGGCTTGACAGGGAGGGGTTTAGGGAAGATGAAACAGGAAAGCCTTATAAATATGATTGCCTGGCAAAAGGTTTTGAGAATATGGAAACTATAAGTGAGATTGAAATGGAAGCAAGCTTTGAGATCCCTCAGTTACTGAACAACTGGGAAACAATGGTGTGGCCAGCTGTAAGTAATCCCCTTTTGATGAAATGTGGTGGTGTTTGTCCTAGGACAAGGGAAGAGATGAAAATCTTGATTCTATGTTTTAGAAGGCTGATTTATTATTTTATTATATATATGATATTAAAAGAAAATGGTATAGTAAAACAATACTAAGAGAATAGAAGAAAAAATTTTATCAGAAAGCTAGCAAAGAATAGAAAAGAATGATAACAAAAGCTCATAACTCTGAGTCTGAGCCTGCTGACTCTGATTAGCTATTAATTAGAAACAACATGAGACTAATCAAAGATGCACCTGTTGCATTCCACAGCAGCAGATAATTCTTGTTTTTCTTTTCCTCTGAGGCTTCTCAGCTTCTCAGAAGAAAAATCTTAGCAAAATGATTTTTCTGAAAATATCATAGTAACAATGAAATAACACCCTCTGTTTGCAGGCAGGTCCAAGGGTCAGAGCAGACCCTACAGCTTGGCAGAAGGGGCCCAAAGAGGAGTTTTTAGGGTTTAAAATGTAACATAATATGGTGATGTTATGATTCTTATAGGCTGTATGTAAATGCTATAGGATTTGTATATTGTACTAGATTGGTTAGTGAAAATAAGAATACGCAGTACAGAAGAAGATTTATGGTATCGTAACAGGAACCTCACTCTCTTTTACTCTCACTCTCATACTCTTTTACTCTTTCTGTCTCTTCCTCTTTACTGCACTCTTGCCTTCTCTCTCTTTCCCACTCTCTTTTCTTCTCTTTACTGCTCTGAGCTGGGGCTGGCAGCTCCCAGCAGGGCCCTGCACTTGGCCCTTTGCAATAAACCACAAGTTCCAAGCCCTGGCTTCAGAGATCTCTGGTCTCCATCCATCCTGACCATCCTACCCCCGTTGCTCCTACAGGAATTCTCTTCTCTCTTCCTTTCCCTTGTGCTTCCTTCCAAAGGGATTCTGACTGAGAGGAAGGGTCAGAGCTGTTCCGTTTGCTGTGGCAGCAAAGGGACTTCTCTGGTGTGGTTTGGCTCTTCCAGGCTGTGGTGTACCTGTCCCCAGAAGATCTGCTGAAAGGAGAGGTGGAGGAGAGCCTGGGCAAGGTGCAAACAGTGTCTGACGTCCTGAGTGCCTTCAAAGGGGCGCTGGAGGAGAGGAGGGCAAACCTGCAGGTGTACTATGAGCCAGGCCAGCAAGTGAGGAGCTGGGACTTCCCCTCCAGGCTGGTGTTTGCAAGGCTGGACAGCTTCCTGCAGAGGCTGCACATGGTGAAGGTGAGAGGTCCTGCAGCCATGAGCTGCCTGGCTGGCACCTTCCCTCCCTGGTGCCAGGGGATCACTCTGTGCCCTCTGATCCCCTCGACATCAAGGCCAGGACTTGTTTGCCCAGGTCCTGCTCAGTGCCTGTGTCAGGTTTGCTGCTGTGTCCTTCTGGTGGCTGTGTCAGTGCTCCCAAGGGTCCTCTGGGACTGCTGTTCCTGTTGGGACAAGGGGATGGGGGTCATGGGGCTGTGGTTTGCATGGATGGGAATAAACCAGGAGGAGCTCTGAGGCTTCCTGGGGCATTCAGGGACACCCTGGAGCATGTCATGACTTGGACAGGGGGTCTAGGGGTGGAACAGGGCCTGGGGAGGAGCAGGGACACATTCCACATCCCTCACCAGGGCATCCCTTCCCATCCCAGTGTGTGCCCAGCTGTTGTGCGTCCCTGTTTGCTGTGGTTGTGAGATGGGACAGGGGGTGTTGTGAGTGCCATCATCCCCCAGCATGGCTGAGGCTCTGTGAGTGCCTGTTACACAGCGTGTAGCTGTTACACAGTGTGTAGCTGTCACACAAACACTGTGCTCACCTGTGAGCGCTCCTGTGGGTACCAGCTCACTGCAGCTGCTGGGCACACTGTTAGTGTTCAGGAACACATAATCACAAAATTATTATATGCAGGTGCTTTACTGAAGAGCTCTGCGTGTCAGAGAACACAAACCCAAATCTGACCTGACATGGTTTCAGACCAAACATGTTTTATATTATCATTACATAACTTACATATTAATTATTAAACTTACATTGTTCTATTGCATACATTGATTTCATCCAAGCATGGATTTCTCATGATCCCCTCAAAGGCTTAACATAGTTTCTCATGATCCTTTAAACAATAATTATATCTAATCACATCTCACAGTTATATCATTTATCATATACTGACTACACAGGTGCAGTTTCACATGATCTAGCAAATACAAGGCCTAACATCTCCCAGGGCCTACCTTTAACATTTTCCTAGGGCCTACTAAGCCTAAATTTATTTCCAACTCCCTGAATTTTCTGTGGTTTTAACATCTTTTACTATCAACAATCTCTTCTGTGGTTTTAAAATCTTTTACTATCAACAAACTCAAAAGTTTTTGGACAGGCTGTTTCCAGCTGGAGGGCCAGATGGACACTGCACAGGCTGCTTGTGCCTATGCAAGGCAGGGTCTCTGGGTTGCTTTTCTCCTTCTCTCATTCCCTGCACTGGAACAGAAGGTTTTACTGGTTTAACCACACTGTGTAACTCTGCTCCTTCCTTAAGGAGCTATGTTGAAAAGCACAGTGGATGGTATCTGTTTTAAAATCCCTCAGTTGTAGAATCACAGGGTGGTTTGGGTTGAAAGGGAAGGTTGGAAGGGACCCCAGAGATCATCCTGATCCCATCCTGAGCACCCTCAGGGTGACACAGGAGCAAACATGGCTCTGTGCTGTGCTAACTTGTCATGTGCTTGTGGCTGAAGCTGTGTGTGCCTCCTCTGGCTCTGCAGGGCCTCCTGAGCACAGCCCTGGACCTGGCCCAGCTGGAGAAGATTGAGTTTGGGGGCATGAGAGGGAAGGCCCTGGGCCAGCAGGTGCTGGCCATGCACGAGGAGTTCCAGGAGTGCTACCAGGTGTTCTCAGAGCGAGCCTACGACTGCCTGGACCTGGCCAATGTGGTAGGTGGGGCCCCTGTGGGGATGGCAGCAGCTCATCCACCTCTCCAGGGAACAGCTCCCTCTGCAGCAGAGCCTGGCTCCTCCTTCCAGCTCCTGTCTCCCTTTGTGGGGCTCTGATCTGTCCCTGTAGGGGACTGGGAGCTGCTAGCCTTCTCTGCAGGCACTTGGCAGTTCTGGCAGCTTCATATCTCAGAATCACACCATGAACCAGGCTGGAACAGACCTTTGAGGGCATTGAGTCCAAACTGTGCCCCGACACTCCTCATCAACTAAACCATGGCACTGAGTGGCACATCCCTGCTCTTTTTAACATGTCAGTGACTTCCCCACCTCCCTGGGCAGATGATTCCAGTGCCCAATCACTCTTCCAGTGAAGAATTTTTTTCTGATGTCTAACCTAAAGTTCCCCTGGCACAGCTGAAGTCCAGCATACTTTGCTGGTTTAGTGATTTTGAGGTGCTGTGGGTTTTTGGCGTGGTGGCATGGTCTTCATGCCATCTTCAGGGTCAGAGAGTGTGGAGACACCTCCTCTCTTGCCTCCAGCTGAAACAGTTAGCTGTTGTTGGATTTTGGGTCCAACCTGGGGGGCCCTGAGCTCAGCCATGGGATGGGACAGAAGTGTCCTTGACTGCGGAGGAGTGTTTAAATTCCTGGTGAATAAGATTATACATCCATTCAGATTATACATACATTCATTCTTTGCTCTGCTTTATGAGAGTGTGTTTTACTTCAGATTGTTTCTCCCCACAAACACACAATCCCATTTTAAAAGCCATGACCGATGCTGCTTTTCATCTTCACTTGGACAGCAACTGTTAAGAGACTCAGTTACCTCTGGACCTGTTAGGCAGGAGCCAAATGCAAGTGTCCCTTGCTGCTCCACAGCACAGCTGATTCTGGAAGTATTTCTGGCTCTAAACTACATATATATTCCTGAATCTGTTCCTGGTGAATAAGGAGAGCAAACAGCTCTGGGCAGGGAGGTGACAGGTACCTCCCCAGTGCCCTCTCCCAGCCCAGGACCTGCTGCTGCCCTTCCCACAGGAATTTGAGCAGGATGCCCTGGAATTCCAGCAGAAGGTGCAGGACATTGACCGGCGGCTGGGCACCGTGTTTGGCCAGGCCTTCAGCGACGCCCCGGGCATGGAGCACATCTTCAAGGTCTGTCTGTCTGTCTGTCTGTGCCTCCCCTCCCTCCCTGGGAGTCCCATTGAGAGCCCAGACAGGGCTGCAGCTGCAGGCTGCGCCCATGGGATGGACAAGGGGACAGTGACGTTGGGATGGATTGGGGACAGTGACATTGGGATGGATTGGGGACAGTGACACTGGGTTGGATCGGGTTGGACTTGGGCAGGGATGCTCTGCCCTGTGGGTTCCTCTTGAGCCCTGGAGCTGGGGGTGTCCCTGCTCCTCACCTCTTGACACAAACAGAAGAGTTTGCTCAGGCTGGGGAAGAGCAGTGAGAGCAATGATTCAAGTCAGGATTTTGGGTGGCAAGAGTGGCACTGGTGTCCCTGGGAGCTGGAGGAAAGGCTGCTCTGAGTTCCAAGGCCAGGTTGGACAGGACTTGGAGCACCCTGGTCTAGTGGAGGTGTCCCTGCCCATGGCAGGGTGGAATGAGCTGGCCTTTAAGGTCCCTTCTAACCCAAACCATTCTGTGATTCTCTGATTTCCTGGTGAAAGCTGCTGTTCAAACCAGGTGATTGTTGTTAATATCAATTTGTTAATACATGGATGAATTTCAACCCTGAAAATTGAGGTTTTCTAGAAATGAAGGGGCTTTGTTTTCCAGTGAATCTATCCTGCAGAGAAACTAAATGGTATTGTCTGAAAAAAAAAATAATCAGAATAATTGTAAAAATTACTATAGAGAGTGGTAAGTGATAGCATTTATCTTTGAGTTGTTTTGGGTTTTTTTAAATAGAAAATTTTGAAGAATGATAATTGGAATATGGTTTACCCACAGAGAAGACCTGAGCTTTCTGTAACAAAGACATCCTTTGTGGTATGGTTTAGTGGTGGGATCAGTCAAAGGTGATCTTGGAGCTCTTTTCAAACCTTAATGACTCCATGAAAGGCAGGAACTACTTGGGAAAGTGGGGGGGAAAACCTTCCCTTTGACAAATGTCCATCAGTGCAGACCTCTGAGTTACTGAGGAGCTGCATCAGTGAGGAAAATCCCAGTGGAGGATTTTGGAGTGTGGTTTTTCCTGTTCTTTCCCTGCTCCTTCCCTGCACAGCTGCTGGCCATGTTCCGGAACCTTCTGGAGCGCCCTGGGGTTGCTGCAGTTGCTGCTGACAAGATCCCTGTCCTGCTCAGCATGTTCAGCTCTGCCGTGGACCAGGCCAGGCTCACCTACAGCAGGCACACCCAGGCAGGGCTGCAGCTCGGTGGGTGCCTGTCAGGAGGAAAATGGATTTTACAGGAAACTGCATTTAGGCTCATTTAGATGGGGGGAAATAATTTGCTTTTGTTAAGGACACCAGAACTTCTCAAGTTGCAAAGGATTTCAGCTTTCCTGGTGGGAAGTGCCTGGGAATGCCCTGTTGGTGGCATTAAAGCAATGCCAATGTCCTTGTTTGAAATGTACTTGGGTGATGTGTGGGTAGTGGTGGAAATGGAAAGGGGAGGTTGGAATTTAGGGTTTGTTCAGCCTTTCCCAGGTTTATTATTCCCTGGGAATGCTGGCACAGAAGGGAATAGGTAAATTCTTGTCAGGAAGACTGTTCTGGAAGCAGAGAAGTTGCAGGAGAGGCAGCACTGATGGAACCAGTGCAGGTTAACAAGGGGAATGGGGAGATTTGTGGAGGACAAGTTCAGCATTTGCTGTGACTTTGGGGAGCTCTGTTCTGTGGCTCTGAGATGGGATGGTCACAGACAGCTCCCAGCCAGAAATCCCTTCCTCAGTGTCCATGGGAAGCAGAGAATTCACCTCAGTCTGGTTCCAGAATGTGCCAGGCTTCTCCTCTGATCCCTTATTGCAAATCCACAGGGGGGGTTATAGGTCACAGAGTGTGACAGTGTTCACAGGGGTCTGAGGATGAGGGAAGAGATGAGGATCTGACTCCATGTTTCAGAAGGCTGATTTATTATTTTATGATATATATTATGTTAAAACTATACTAAAAGAATAGAAGAAAGGATTTCCTCAGAAGGCCAGCTAAGAATAGAATAAGAAGGAATGATAACAAAGGTTTGTGGCTCAGGCTCTCTGTCTGGGCTTTGATTGGCCATTAATTAGAAACATCCAAGATGGGCCAATCAAAGACCCACCTGCTGCATTCCACAGCAGCAGATAATCAATGTTTTGCTCTTGAGACCTCTCAGCTTCTCAGGAGGAAAAATCCTAAGGAAAGGATTTTCAATAAAATGTCTGTGACAGCAGACCTCCATGAAGTGACAGAGGCGACAGAGGCTGGATTTCAGGAGGGAGCCTGGAGCCAGGGCAGTTCTGTAACGCTGTGGGTGGATGCTGTGGGGTTCAGAGCTGATGGAATCTGTTCCCCTGTGCCCTGCAGGGTTCCCCCCCCTGCACAAGAACGCCCCTCCCGTGGCCGGAGCGCTGGGCTGGGCGCGGGAGCTGCGTGCGCGGATCCAGCAGCCCTTGGAGCACCTCAGGCACATCCCAGGGCTGTGAGTGTCTGCTCCAGATGGGCTGGGACCATCTGGAAACCTCTCTCTGGGGGTTCTCTCTATGTTGAATGCTATCCAATGGCTGTTGTCATTATAGTGCAAGAGTTCTGTTGTCATTACATTGCAAAGGTTCCATATTGCCAGTTTTGTACCTCCCTCATGTTTCTTGTAGGCAGCTCCTCTGAGCACTGACTCTTCCTTGTCCTCACAGCAGCCGACTGACTCCAGTTCCCCCTCAACCAACCAATCCACTCTTTTGTAACACTCTTCTTATTGGCTACAGCTGTAGCCTGTTAAATCAGACCTGTTCCTAATCATTAATAATTAACCCGGCTGCAACTTTTTAGGGGGTAAGATTACTTGCTATACTACCTTTATTTACTTATATTCTATGCCCTTACAAATGGCTGCAGCTGAAGCAGTCCTTAGTGAGGAAGTGAGAAGTGAAGAGGTGCCCTGGAGCCATTCACTTCCCTGCCATCTTGGTTTTTTGAAGAAGTTTTTTAATTGCATTTGTTATTAAGTGATTGAGAGGCACTGTGGGACAGTAGATAGGCTTCTCAGCTTTTAACAGAGCCCTAGGTTGTAATTAAAATAGATATTGCAACCTTTCCCGCTGTAATTCCTCCAGGACCCAGTTGGGAGCAGCCCAGTTCTTTGGTGATAACTTTCTCAGAATTAAACAAAGGAACAGTCACCCAAGATCAAGAAAACAAACAGGGCTAGAATTCTCATGGTCCCTGCTGCATTTAGTATTGATTTTACCCCTCTGTGTAGAGCAGTTAAAGACAAGTCCTTCAGCAGGATGGTGTGAGGCTCTTTCCCATGTGGAAATTGAGGGGGAGAAAGGATTGAAAAGGAAAAATGAAGATATGTGTATATATAGATTTATATTATATATATTTACTGTATAGTATGTTACTGCATATATTTTATTTTTTTTCTATACATTATATAGAAATGCATTTTATACATTTTATAAACAGCCATTCTCACAGCTGTGACCTGCATTTAGTGGAGCACAACTGTGACAGAAAACTGCCAAGGGTAAAATGTTCAAAAGTGATGTTTGGTAACATTACAGTGATTTTTCCAGCAGCCCTGGCTCCTTCTCCCATCTTAGCTGCTTCTCCCCATTTTACAGCAGGGAAACACCTGAGAGAGAGCCCAGGGGTCTGGGCCGCCTTGGGCAGGAGTGGATTTTGGGTGAAATCCAGGATTTGGGGTGAAATCCAGGCAGACTGTGCCTGTGGACTGTGGGGCACCTTGGGAAGGGGGAAATGCAGATTCCAGCCCCCAGGACTGAAGGTGATGAACCCCTGTCTGTTGTGCTGGCAGGAACTTGGACTCTGCCCGTGGAAGACTGGTGATGCAGAAATATGAAGAGATGATCCAGCTGCTCGACAGGTACGGGGGCTCAGGCAGGGCAGTGGCTCAGGAAAGCTTCCCCTCCCCTGAGCCACCTGCCAGAACATTTGGCAGCCCAGGGCTTGGCAATGTCCCTCTCTAAGCCCAAGGGAATTGCCTGCCTGGAGAGGAGGGGGGAGCTGGCACTGGGTGCCTCAGGTTTGCTGGGATGGCTTCAAGTGAGAATCCTGCAGGGGGAACAGGGGCTCTGCAGCCCAGCAGGAGCTTCAGAAGGAGATGCTGTGGGGTGGAGGAACGGCCCTGGTGGAAAGGCTGGGCTGGGAGAAGTCTTTGTTCTCTCCCTGGCTGTGTTTGCAGTGGCTGCAATGTGGATATTCCACAGTTGGAGCTGGGGGTGACTGTCCAGGACTTGGCATCTCAGCATTTGATGTTTCACCTGATTGCTCTGGGCTGTCCCTTGAGAGGAACCCCTTCCCCAAGAAGGGGATCTGTGACCGTGTTCACAGGGGTCCAAGGATGAGGGAAGAGACAAGGATTTGACTCCATGTTTCAGAAGGCTGATTTATTATTTTATGATGTATATTACATTAAAACTATGCTAAAAGAATAGAAAAAAGGATTTAATCAGAAGGCTGGCTAAGAATAGAAAAAGAATGAATGATAACAAAAGCTTGTGGCTCAGACTCTCGGTCTGGGCCAGCTGACTGTGATTGGCCATTAATTAAAAACGTACATGAGACCAACCACAGATGCACCTGTTGCATTCCACAGCAGCAGATAACCACTGTTTACATTTTGTTCCTGAGGCCTCTCAGCTTTTCAGGAGGAAAAAATCCTAAAGAAAAGATTTTTCACAAAAGATGTCTGTGACCTGGATCCCTGCAGGTCCTGCTCCCCATGCACACTGGAAGGAGCTGGGATGAGCAGAGCCCACCCTGGGTGCTGCAGGGTGGGTGGAGGGAACCCTGTTCCCATCACCAGAGCAAGACTGGGGGGTTCAGCAGAGCCTTCCAGAGAGGAGCAGCCCCACAGGTAGTGTGGGATGAGCACCTCGAGGTGCTGTGTCCTGGGTGCTCAGGTGACAAAGTGATTCAGAGAAGACTTTGTCACTGGGGAGGGGCTGTCCATGCCCTGTGAGATGCCAGGAGCCCTCCTCTGCCCTCTGTGCTCCCATGCCAGGGTGCCATGGCCTCACCCAGCCAGGTGAGCTCAGCTTCAGCCACTCCAGCATTCCTGGGGCTTCAGGAACCTGCCCTGCTCAGACCTTGGAAACCTCCAGCTGCTGATACATCACATCAGGCTAAATGCTTTGGAAAGTCCATCTCCAAATCTGAATTCTCTGCTAAAACTGGTGCTTGAGAGAGCTGTGCCCTCCTGACTTGATGCTGCCACTGTTCTTTTGGGTGTTTGCCTTGTTGTTGAGGTGGCATGGGTGGGTTTTGAAGATTCCTTCACTTTCTTCAGTCCTCAGAGTGGACTTAGCTTCCCCTCAGTTACAGGTGCACCCTCTGGTCTGGTAACTGTGTGGAGCAAGTTTCTCTCTTCTGGCAGGTACCAGGAGAAGCTGTATTTGGACTGGTCCCAGACAGTGTCAGAGAAATCCCAGTACAACCTGGCCCAGCCTCTCATCCGACGAGAGGCACAGAGCAAACTGATCAGGGTCAATTTTGATCCCCAGGTAAGAGCTGCTGCCCCTCCAGCCTCCCAGCACATGTCCCCAAGATGTGGGGGACACCTGGAGGGGTCTCTGTTCTCTGTGGAGCCCCTCCCTTGGGGGTAACAAGGCTCTACCATAGATCTGCTCTGTAATACCAGCATTGAGTTTAAGCAGAGCAAATTCTGGTTTAAGGCAGTGGTAGAAGTCCCTCAGGAGCCAGAGGTGTGACCGCATGTCCACACTATACTGCTTGATATTGGTGTGGGGAGTGATGGAACATCATCTAGAGACACACATTCATGTTGTGTGTACCTGAAACCTGAGCTTCAAAGGGTGTGAAAAGCCCAGGGAAGGTTTGTTTTGTGACTCCAGAAATCTTTGATGGCACCAGAGTGGGTTTGAGGCCATGGTGCTATTTTTAAATTATTTTTTATACCAATCGGCCCAGCAAAGCAAGAGAACTGGAGCCATCTTACCTTTCACTTTTATAATGGCCAATGGCTCTTGCAGAACAGCATTGCTGGGACTTGTGATGGGGCTCAGCCTCCATCTGAGAGGGGAAGAACATGACTGGGGATGGCCGAGAGTACCAGAGGTGATGGTGGCTTTTAGAAGAGGCTGGTGGGTGCTTAACAGAGCTGGGAAGGAATCCAGAGTCAGAGATCAATGGGAAACAGACCAAGAGCTGTCTAGGCCCTTTCCAGCTTGGTGCTTTGGGAATAAACCAGCAGGACCAGCAGAAGGACTTGGAGGGAATGCCAGGAGCTGGCAGGGCTGTGCTGACCAGCAGAAAGGGCTGGAGGGAGTTCCAGGAGCTGGGAGGGCTTAGCTGATGAGCAGAAACCCCTGTGATGGTCAGAACAGGTTGCAGGGAGTTCCAGGAGCTGGCAGGGCTGTGCTCACCAGCAGGACTAGCAGAACAGGTTGTAGGGAGTTCCAGGAGCTGGCAGGGCCATGCTGACCAGCAGGACCCACCTGTGATGCTCAGAAGGATCTGGCAGGGCTGTGCTGACCAGCAGGAACACTCTGTGATGCTCAGAACAGGTTGTAGGGAGTTCCAGGAGCTGTCAGGGCCGTGCTGAGCCCAGCTCTGTGCCTTGCCTCCCCAGCTGGTGGCCGTGCTCAGGGAGGTGAGCTACCTGAGGCGCAGCGGGGCAGGAGCCATCCCCCCGGCAGCAGCTGAGCTCCATGCCTGCAAGGAATCCCTCTGGAAGCTGGTGGCCAGCCTGGAGCTGATGGCCAACAGCTACAACAAGGTCCTGAGGTCCCTGCTGGAGGTGGAACATCCTCTGGTGCAGGGGCAGCTGCAGGACATCGACGTGAGGCTGAGAGAGGCAGAAGAAACGCTGACCTGGAAGACAGAGGGTGAGCTGGCTCTGTGTGTTGTTGGTTTTCCCAGCTTTTACTGAGATGGGGCAGCTGAGAGGTGTTCTAAAAGATCTTATTTCATCATCAGTTTCAATGAATAGTGAGACAAATGTAAAACTCAACTCCATTCCATCAGAAGCCAACCAGTTTCCTGGTTACAATACTTTATAAATCTTTTTCAGCCTATTAGCTTTTGGTCCACAATGCTGCTGTTACTTCTAACACCAATCATCTCTATTTTTACCTATATTTTTACCTATATTTAACACAAATCCCCTATATTCTTACCTGTATTTTTACCTATATTACCTATATTTAACACCAATCACCTATATTTTAACTATATTTAACACAAATCACCTATATTTTTACCCCACGTCATGCTACAATGCATCTTTCACAATTCTAATTCTCTAAAATACCTGGTCCTTTTGCAAATCTACATTTTGAAACTTGTTGAAACTTTTTTCCAGTTCAATCCCTCTCTCAACAATGTCATCTCTATTCCAAGGCATTATAGTATATTATAGTATAGTATATTAAAAGAATAGAAGAAATTATTTCATTAGAAGGTTAGCAAGGAATGGAAAATAATGGAATTGGAATGATAATAAAATTTTGTGACTGACTAGACAGTCTGAGCCACCTGGGCTGTGATTGGTTATTAATTAGAAACAACTATGAGACCAATCACAGATGCACCTGTTGCATTCTACAGCAGCAGATAACCATTGTTTATATTTTGTTTCTGAGGCTTTTCAGCTTCTCAGGAGAAAAAAATCTTAACGAAGGGATTTTTCAGAAAATATCATAGCTCTGCTGCTCCAGGTGGTGAATCTCTTACCTTAAGGATGAGTGAGAAACATGTGAGACCATGGGGGAAAGGTCTCTGAAGGAGAGAACACCGGAGCTTGTCCCAGAAGCTCTGGAAATAGAGGCTCAACCATCTCATCTTCCCCAGGTGTCTGGGATCACATCTCCGGGGTGGTGAGTGATGTCTGTGACCTGGAGCAGAGGGTGCAGAAGGCCAAGGACAACGTTGAGGAGATCCAGAGCATCGTGCGCTCATGGGGATCGCCCATGCTGGAGAGGAGGGACCCCAAGAGGGAGGCAGTGCTGAGCCTGGAGGAGTGCCAAGAGCGCCTGGAGCGGCGCTACAGCCTGGTCAGGGAGGCTGGGCACAGGATCCACTCCCTGGTGGAGGTGAGGGGGCACCTGCAGAGCTGGGGGGCTCCTCAGAGGCTCCGTGTGGTCCCTGTGGCTCTGGAAACATCCAGAGTGCTTTGCCTGAAATGAACTCCCTGAACACATTTGATAACCCACCCCGGGGTTAATTGGTGCTGTCTCAGGGCTGGGATGAGTTGGATTGGGGTGTGAGGCTGGCTGGGCTCCCAGCCCCGGGCAGGACCAGCAGCAGCTGCAGCCCTGGCTGCTGGAGAGCCACTAGAGGGGAGTGGTGCATCGGGATTGGGATGCTGCTCCAAGGAAAGGAAAAATCCCCTCTGAGGGTTTACCTGGGAACAGAAGCTGGAGCTGACCTTTTGGTTTGAGGCTCTGTCCCTCTCTGGAGCAGGAGGTGATGCTGAGCACCCAGGGAGAAGCTGAGTGACAGGGGAGAAACTGCTCTCCCAAACCTTGGTGCTTCCCAGCAGTTTTGCCAGAGCTCAGAGTCCTCTGCAGGCCAGGAGAAAGCCCAAAGCTCTGCTCCTCACCTGCCTGGAGCCAGATGTTGTGCATGTCAGGGACGGTCCCTGGCTTGGAGGAGATGGCTTATGGGCCCAGCCCTCTCCTGAGGATCATGTCTGGCCTTGGACTCTGAAGAGAAGCAGATGGGTTCATCAGGATGGTCCTTTGAGACCCCCAGTTCTCCCTGCCCCAGGGGTGCAAAGCAGCCCCAAGTCCCATGGCCTCAGAGAAGAGGGAGGTAAACACGTGGAAGACCTTCTAAGGCTCTTCTGCCCTCCATTTTCACCTTGACATGTTCCTGGAGACCAAGCAGCCCTAGACAGGAGCAAATTGTGGCCATGCCCCAATAGGAAGATCCACCTCCATGAGGTGCTGTGCTGCTCAGCATCAGCCCTTGGCTGTGGGGCAGTGATGCCTTCACAAAGCATCAACTTCAGCATCAGCACCTCTGCATTACATGCAAGGAGGATTTTTGGACACACTCAGCCCTGTTGTGTGTGAAGGAATCTTCTTTGTGTTTCAGGAAAACCAGAGCCTCCTACGTGCAGAGCCAGCCTCTGATGCCTGGAAGGGGTATTTGGATTATGTGGATGAGATAGTTCTGGATGGATTCTTCACTGCCATTGAGTGCTCCCTGAAATACCTCCTGGAGAACACAGGTGACACCTGGCTCCTGTCTCCTGGCTGCAGGGGCTGCTCAGCCTCTCCAAGGGGACATTTCTGGTTGTGCTCCCCCATTCTCAGTGGTTGTTCTCCTCTTCCTTGCTTTGCTCTGACACTGGAGGAAAGCAATTCTCTTTTTCCTGGCCTCTCCAAGGGGACATCTCTGGTTGTGTTCCCTCATTCTCAGTGCTTGTTCTCTTTTTCCTGGCTTTCCTTTGGCACTGGAGTGTCCAGAAGGGAAGGGTGGCTCCAGCACTGGTCACTGGATTGCTCAGGGGGAGGGATGGAGGTGACTGCACTGCAAGGGTTAATGGAGAGAGACCTCTGAGGCTTCCTTCCACATCTCTGCTTGGACATCAGGCACCTCCCACCCTCCCATGCCCAAAGCAATAGGGTGGCACCATCCCTCCTCTGTGGGCAGTCTCAAGAGCCAGTTCTGCTCCTGAAAGGCACAATAAAAAACCCTCTGGAGGGCAGAGGTGAGCTGGGCTCAGGAGTGCCCAGCCCTCCTTGCTGTGCTGAGAGCAGCCTGTGTGCAGCTGAAGCACATCCCCAGGAACACTTCCCTTCTGGATGTGAGGCACAATGAGCTGGAGAATTGCAGGCAGTTCTTCACCATCTTGTTAAAAACTTGCCTAGGTTGTCACATTTGCATCTGGCTTCAGTTTCTGGTTGCTGTTTTTTTTTCATGCCTTTCACCACTAAATTAAAGAGCCACTTGGTTCCTGTTGTTTTCCTCCTCTGCAAGCACTTCCATGCTGGCGCTGTTCAGCTCTCAGACTCCCTCTGCATTACCTGAAGAGCTTTTCCTCCTCAGGGTGTTTTCTGCTCCTTACATCACTTGTGTCTCACCTGTTCCCCACTGGTTTTGGTGGGTACCACAGCACAGCTGGTTTGCCAGCACCTCCATGGGTTGTGCAGGCCCCAGGGAGTGTGTGTGTGCCACCACCCCTTCCTGCTGTCTCTGCAGGGCATGTGGCACCTTGTAATAGGACCTCGGTGGCTCAAGATGCCTTGAAAAACACCCAAACATCTCTGTTCTTCCCTACCAGACCCCAAGGCAGGGCTTGCTCCCCTCTTTGAGGTGCAGCTGGATTTGGTGATCCCAGATTTGGTGTTTCGCCCTCCCTTGGACCCTGGCACCAGGGATGGCTTCTGTGACATGGTGGAAAGTCTTCTTCAGGGCATCTTCCACATCTCCTTGCTGGTGCCCCGGCTGGCTGCACACAGTGGCTTCAGTCACTACCAGGTCTGTGCTCTGGGGCTTCCCTGGGCTGGGGCAGTGAGGAGGTGCCATGTGCTCCCATCTCACTGTGCTCTCCTCTCCCTCTCCACTCTCTCCTTTCTCCTCTCTGCCTTCTCTCCTCTTCTCTCTTCTCTCCTTTCTCTCCTCTTTCTCCTCTCCCTTCTCCCATTTTCTCTCTTTCCCTTCTTCTTCTCTCCTTTCTCCTCTTCTTCTCTCCTTTCCCTTCTTCTCTTTCTCCTCTTCTTCTCTTCTTTCCCTTCTTCTTCACTCTCCACTTTCCCTTCTTCTTGCTCTCTCTCCTTTCCCTTCTCTCTCCACTCTCCCTTCTCCTCTCTCCTTTCCCTCCTTTCTCCTCTTCTCTCCTTTCCCTTCTCATCTCACCCTTCTTCTCTCTCTTTTCCCTCCTTCTCTCTCCCTCCTCTCTCCACTCTCTTTTCTCCTTTCTCCATCTCCCTTCTCCCTGTGCCCACCAGGCTGCCCTGGAGGCCATGCCCTCGCTGTGCTCGTGGCGCCAGGAGCTGCTGGCAC